CTCAAAGCAGGACCAATCCCCAGACAGATTTTTGCCCCAGATCCCTAAATTGCCCCCTCAGAGATTGAGCTCACAACCCTGGGTTTAGCAGGCCAATGCTCTAACCACTGAGCTATCCCTCCCACCTCATATTTACGAACACCTCGGAAAATGAAGGTTATTCATAACTCTAAAATGTTCATAACTGAACAAAACATTATGGTGGTTCTTTCAAAAGTTTACAACTGAACATTGACTTAATACAGCTTGAAACTTCACTATGCAGAAGAAAAATGCTGCTTTTCCTTTATTTTTGTAGTAGTTTACATTTACATGGCCACTTAAGCCTGCTGCATCATCAGTGGTGAGGGAAACAGGGCAAGGAGATCTTTGTAAAGTTTTTAAAAGAATGGGAAATAGAAGTGCTTATCATTTTTCAGCACAAGGTCCAAAAAAATTTCATTGTTTCAAATGATAAAAGAAAAATAAGAAAATCCAGTTTGTGAGTCATAAACATCTAATCATATATACATTGGAGATCCAGATCATGTAGTGTTTGCAAAGATGATGCCACATCATTCTGTGATTGGAAGAAAGTTTATGAATTATGTTGGAAGCAGGTGATTAACTGCAGGATAGCAGGAATCACCCACAGATTTAAGTTGTGAATGTTTGGGTCATTTAGCCCATACCCTCAGGAGAGCTCTTCTGTGGTATTAAGGTAGAAATACTCTGATAACAAATAGGAATAATAGCTAATTTTTATAATAGGACAACCATATATGAAAAACATTCCAATGTTTGAATATTCTTGTTTCAGAAAATTGTCCATCCTTGCTCTGTCAAGTTTTTAAGATGAATTATTTACATTTGTTTACTTGTGTAGTATTCTGCACAATGGAAATATCCCATGAACTAAGTATTCCAGTAATTTCTTGGCCTACAATTGCCTCATCTATATTACTCTGAATAGCAGTCACCACTCCTTCACCACACATGGCTCTTTTTTGTTTATGGAGAAATGAGAGGTTTCAATCACCTTTCATTTTCTTTTTGTCAGGTCAAATTGAGTGACAATAGAATCATGTTACATAACCACTCTTCCCTCAGGTGTTTTGTCTGCATATGCAAGTTGTCAAACAGAGAAAGTTCTTTCTCATTCTCACAAGTAGAGAGTGAGTGAATGATAGAGAGAGAGAGCGCATCTGACAGTGCGGAAAGTTGTCAGACGCCTGGAGCTTGCCATTCCTCTATTACAGAAACAGAGTAATAGTAGGATTCTTGAAAGTGACTTGCCCCTATGGCTCTTTCTGGAACTGCAGTTTACAGTGAAGCAGCTGCCTACTCTGCCTAGCAATGCTCAGCAAAGCCACCTAAGAACAGGTGCAGTAGTAAGAACAGCTTCTCTTCAGGGATAACCACTTGTCTGCTATACACTTGCAACATTCCTCTAGACAATGAAGCAGGAAAGATCAACCACATGATGGGGATGTTTGAGGTATGGACGCAGTGAGATGGGACACAAAGTAAAGGGAACAGACAAAAAGAGATGAAGGGATCCATGACCAAGAAGAAAATATGCTATTTTTTTAGGTTGTGGCAATTTTATTTGATCATATCTTATTTCCTTGGCAGAGAAGGGCATATCAAAAGGAGGGTGAGTCTACTTTAAACCTTTTTGGGGGGAGGGGAGGAGGAGACCTATGGGCTGAGTATGGAAACATACCAGCAGTCTCCCCTCCCCTGAGGATGACTGCTGTAAGTAACTTTCTAAACTCTCATTAGCTGAGGCATTCCTATGGGGAGTGCAGGATATGGTTCCTGAAATTCCTGTTACTGTAACATGCATTTCAGTACTTGTAGATCTGATTTCATGTTTCTCTTTTTCCTCCCCGCTTAATTTTAAGGTAAAAGTAGACTTGCATGTATCCTTGCCTCACCGCTACCCTCATTCAGCACCGCAACTATTTGCAAGATCAAATGCACTAGACAGACAGAATCAACTGCAGCTCAATAAACATCTCACTTCTCACATCAGTTCTTTGGATTTAGGTGAACTGTGTGTATGTGCGGCAGTGCAGTGGGTACGAGACAACAGTGCATCTTATTTCCAAAACAGTAACGTCTCTTCTGAAACTGCTCCAAAAGAAAAGGCAGTAAAAATAATTTTTCATCGAATGTGGATCTATAGCCATCATATATATAGACAGGAACTGAAAAAGAAAATCTTTGATTGCGCAAAGCAATTAAATTTGACTGGTTTCTGCCTAACAGGGAAACCTGGTATCATCTGTGTGGAAGGGCTCAAAGAAAACTGTGAGGAGTTCTGGCATGTTATTAGATATCCTAACTGGAAACACATTTCCTGCAAACACGTTGAGAGTATGGAAACGGAAGGAAATGGGGATAATCTTCATCTCTTTCATACTTTTGAAGATTTACAGTTCCAGGCACATGGTGATTATGGACTGAGGAATGACTATCACATGGATCTTGGCCAATTCTTAGAATTCCTTAAACAGCATCAAAGTGAACATATTTTTCAATTATTATTTGGTGTTGAAAGCAAACATTCAGACAATTAACAAATCAATTGTATAACTAGTTTTAATTTTGCACAATGTTACAAATGATTTTTTTTAAGTTCATCCATGGATATACGATTAAAAACTGAATGAAATTGGTATACTGTGCTTATAGTTATTATAATAAGGGAAACTCTGTAAAGTAAGAAAATCATGGTGCAAAGATAGACCCTTTGCTTTTGTTTTAAATACATCATAAGTAAGACCCTTCGTTTTCAGTTTAAACCAATTTTTACTGGAAAAAAACTGGGTTTTAAAAGCATTACCTGTTTTTTGATTTTTGACCTACTTTTGTATCATTCAAATATATAAAAAATAACTTGTTTTATTAGGAAAATACAATACATTGCATGAGATATGTATTACAGTAATACATTAGTCTGTGTGTATATGCAAAGCTGCCTGTTAAAGTAAGGCGATGTATTAGTGTAGAAGATATACACACAATAAACAAACATGCATGCACGCAAGCTCTGAACTGCGTGCGCATCTGAACGTACTGATGAATCTCACACCCGCCACGTACACATTTCAAGTTGTTAGCAGATAACGGTTGAAAAATTTAACACTAAACTCTGTATCAGAATATGTTTCAGCACACAAGGAAGTATTCAAAAGTTTTAAAAAATCGAAACAGGAGAAAAGGATGAAGTTTAGTGTATGCGCTGCAAATGGTGTGGCCCAGTTATTAAATGGAAATATTTATAGGCTATTAGTTCTATGTCTACAACCGTAAACTGTTTATTCAAATGAAATATTTTATGTGGAGCTTAGAGATGTATTGTTAAACTCAGAAGTGCCATCGTGTTTTGAGTGCTGTTTTAGTTCTGCAGCAAACCACACTGAATTCTGTTCATCAAAGCATTAATTTACTGAATACTTTTCCCCCTGTGCTTCCATCCCCTGAAATAAACCCTGCTATTACCCCAAAAAAATTAATAATAGTTTTTTGCAATGATTTTCATCTGCCTTTGGTAGTTGTAGTAATAAACACAAATTCCTGGGAAAAATGAAATAAAATAAAATGCAAAAACGAAGGGCCTTAATCATAAGCTTTTGAGATTTACATATTTATTTGTGTAAATGAGTGCTAAATCTATAGCTGAAACATGTAATCAGCATTTATCACCTCTTGGTCCATGAGGCAGACTGCAGGGCAGTGGTTGCGAATTGCACAATCCCATACTGTAATACTCAGAATTATGTAGTCTGTCTGGCACCTCAGCCACATGTCACTTGGTAGTTTCTTCGGGTCTAGGCCTGTAGTAACTATTTTATATGGGAATCGGTGGGGAAGAGGAGGGATGAAGGGGCTACACACTCCAATTATTTTGCATTAACAACAAAAATAGACTACTCTGTTCCATGCTCCAGTCTGTACAGCACCCTGACCTGCTCTGTAAAGCCTCTATTCAAACTCCATTCAAATCTTTTTTTAAAGTGCATAAGAAATGAGCCATCTAACATTTTATTTCTTACTAAAACAAAATTTTGAAAAAATTACCATCCGTTTATTCCTTTATAGCCTAGCTTTTGCTGGAAAACCATGTAATTTTATTGCTGTTATCAATTTTCTGTACTTTCCCTTCCATCTCCAGTCTCGTTACCCCCCAGTTATATTAGCTTTTAGCTGTTCCGGCCAAGGATTTGAGATTTGTATCTGAACTGTGAGATGCCTTGCATTCTTTTGGGTACTGTAAAAAATAATAAATGCATGGGATTTGGAGTTCCTACTGAAGTGTGCCAAATATCAGAGTAGCTGTTATTTCACACAGCGGGATGAAGTCTTGCAAGTTTAAAAGATATAAAAAAAAATGTAAAACTAAAACATATATATAATTTTACATAAATGAACAGGTAAATAAATCAGATAACTATGTAGCGTTTTGGAAGACGGTTATATATTTAAGATGTGCTATGGATACTTCCTTTTTAGTGAAATGAATACTGAAGATTAACATAGCTAATATATATTAAAAAAAAATCACTCAATCACTAGAGGGAGATACATGTAGGCTTTGAAGGGACATTCATTAGCTTCTCTCATTAGAAAACTTTCTCTTGACTGCTGCCATTGCACCTGCATGATTGCAAATGTACATACAGATTTTCCTAGGGAAAAATATCCTACATTTACCATGTTTTAAAACAAAAATGTTTTCATTATTTTATTTAAAGGTAATAATATAGCTATTTTATATGCAAATTGTACTGTGCCTTTCCTTAAACAAACAGATTGTGCTATTTAGTCTCTGCCATACTGTTTTGTCAGTTTGGACATAATCCTGATTTCATTGAAATTAGTGGCGTTAATGAGAGCAGGATTTAGTCCTCTATTACAATACATTGTAACATGTCAGAAATGTATAGAGATGTGATTCTCTGTAATATTCCAGCTGAAAATCATAAGCAAAAAAGGGAAACATTTGCCACAAGTCCATTGCCCAAATTGATTTTTATTCTTATGTGTACAGTTATTTTAGCAACTTAACTAATTTGAAATAAAAGTTTTAAAGAAAAAATTAGTCTGATTGTAAAAGTTTTCAGCATATTAAAAAATAATTTTTAGATTTGACAGAAAACTACTAAATATTTGAACTCTCAACTATTGCTACCTTGTTCATTTTCTATTAAAGATTAAAAAAAAAAACTAATAATTTTTAGATTTAACAGACAAAACAGTAATAGGTATCTGAATTCCTTCAACTACTGCTACCTTGTTCATTTTCTATTAAAGATTTCCGGTCTGTATTTTCATGGCTTCCTCGGGCCAGACATAAGAGTCCACTACAAAGCTGTCATAATCAGTGCTATAAACCTGTGAGCGGATGAATGCTTCCTTGTCTTCAGGCTCAGGATAGAAAGATGCTGTTTTATTGCTGTAGGCTTGTTCTGCAATCTGGAAACACACAACCAAGTTGACAATTACAACCTATTAAGTTTGTTGCAATGCTGTTCCAAAAGTAAGAGTAGAAATGATGATAGCTCAAAATTTAACAAAAGATGCCGGATCCTCTGCTGGTGTAAAACAACAGATTTATATGAATTTACATCAGTTGTGGATCTGTCCCAATATATCATGAGGAGGGGATTAACAAAGGTTGTGCAAAATTTTCTGAAAAGCTGGGTTGCTGCATCCATTGAAATGAGTCTTACCCGTGGCCTTCTCACTCTCTTTACTCCTAGGGGAATTCTGCGCCCTGAATTGATACCTTCTGCAGATTTCTTGGCTCCCCTGCAGAAAAATGGGGGGAGCAAAGAAATCTATGGGGAACACACGCCCCTTTCCCAGCAGCCTGAGTGCATCTGCTGGGAGCAGCTGGCAGTAGAGAGTAGATTACTGTGGGAGGGAGGAGGGAGGCTGGGCATGCATCCATGGAGAGATGTTAAGGGGGTAGGGCTGGGCGCCTGCCTGTGAAAGAGTGAGAGAGACTCACTCTGTCCCTCTTGCTCCCTGTTGCTGCATTCCGGTCTTGGAGACATAGGGCTGTGTGAAGCAGGCTCTGTCCCTGAGGCAGAGCACAAACGTAACAACTAAGCTGGCAGGCTGCTAATGTTGACATTGTTAGTTCATTATTCCCATTCTTAGTCAATTAAGGCTCCTTTACCTTGCCAGAGTGATGTAAAGTATCAGAGGGGTAGCCTTGTTAGTCTGTATCCACAAAAACAATGAGGAGTCTGGTGGCACTTTAAAACTAACAGATTCATTTGGGCATAAGCTTTTGTGGGTAAAAACCCACTTCTTCAGATGCATGGAGCATCTTCCATGCATCTGAGGAAGTGGGTTTTTACCCATGAAATCTTACGCCCAAATAAATCTGTTAGTCTTTAAGGTTCCACCGGACTCCTCATTGTTTTAGAGTGGTGTAAAGGAGCCTTCTTGTAAATGACAGTAACGGAATCCTCAGCTAGGAAGGTCTATGGGCTTTCTCACTTTTTCCCCTGTGCCAGAGAGGCACAATGGGGTTAGATTACAGCTCGGGATCTATTTTACTTATCCATTAAAAAAAAATGCAAAACAATGATTAGCAAAACTGTATGACTTTCATGTATGAAAGTCTGAGCAATTTGGTGTTCTGTAAAGTAGAATGTCGCTTTAAACACCACAATAAAAGTAAGGTAATTTAAATGAAAATCCAGGATTATAACTGGAATGCAGGGTATTGGTTACCAAGTATTTGTAACCTTCATGTGTTTAGGAAATGCTGAACAGTTATTGTGATTTTTTTTCTGTATGGTAGTTTAAATAAATTACCAAAATAAGTGAAATTGCTGTGATTATATTGCATTATTTTGACAAAAAATGCAGAATTTTGGATTATTTGCCCTGAATTCCCTCAGGAGTATCTCTGGTGGTGCAAATGGATTGCTCACTTTTATTCAGTAACATCCTAGCTTTTATGGCAGCAGTGGGCAAATTAGTCCCCCCTTCATATAAGCAAGAAAGAAGTGAAATCTTTCCTTTTAAGAAGATACACATCTTTTCTACATGAAGAAGGTAATTCTTTGTACTTTGATCATCTTTTGCCAAGGTTAACTCTTCCTTTCCAAGCCTCACATGAAATATTTCTTGCTTCATTTTGCTTGAAGGCTCAACGGCCACTAGATGTGACCAGAGCTGTTAAAGTTTGCCATAATTGACAATATCTTTCTTAGTAAAGCTAAATCTCCAAGAAATGGCGAGTTTTGATCCTACACCAGCGTGTGGGCTTTGTTTTAGTGATGATTGGGAAAAGCACCTGATTAAAAGCTTCTAAATTCTCCATAGTTAGTTGAATCAAGTGCTATATTACTAAGGCCTTTCATTTTTGGTTATTCGTTATTGGTAAAATTCCCAGGTTATACAAAAGTTATTTGTATTTTTTACCAATTGTAACCCAAATTTTGGACCTCTCTCATACATGAAAATACTGATCATGTTAAGAAAATCTAATACACTACATTGAATAGAAATGTTTTTGTTATTAATCAATTAGTCAAAGTGTAAATGTGAGCCAGTTAAAGTAAGACAACATAGTGGAAGATACCCATGGATGTGCGTGTGTATATCAGTGCTTGAGTCCTAACCCCCCCCCCAACTTGCTGAAATTTCCGGACCCAATTCTCTGCTCCCAGGAAGAGAGATGGTGGCTCAGTAACCTGGATGGCCCAGGTACCAGAGCCACCATCTCTCCTTCTGGAGCGGGCCCGGAGGCAGAAGACTAGAGGAGGGAGCCTTAGAAGATGGCGCCCTTATGTTCTCCAGTTCCAGGCCCGCTTTGGTTTAGTAAACCAGGCCACCCAGATTACCAAGCTGCCATCTCTCCTTCCGGAGGAGGGAGTTGGGTCAGAATAGTCTTACCTTTCTCTATTTGTTGCTTCTTTTCTGTCCTTCCATCCCCCAATATTAACCCAGAAAATTGAAGTTCCCCCCCGAGTGCTTGCTCATATCCATTCCATTAGGTGTGTGCGCGCCGCGTGCACGA